TGGGACCCTGAGCCCCGACTTCGCGGCGCGGCCGTGGGCGGCGCGGCTGGCGCTGATGGTGCCCGTGTTCCTGGCGCTGCGCCTGCGCCTCTACGTGGGCTGGCTCTGCGCCGAGGCCGGCTGCGTGGCCGCGGGGCTGGGCGCGTACCCCAAAACTGCCCGGGCCAGGCCGGGACAGGGACCTACAGTGCGCTGGGAGCGCCCCAAAACGTGAGTGACACCATTGGGGTACAGGGATGTGGGGCACAGGGATATGGGGCACAGGGATATGGGGCACAGGGATATGGGGCACAGGGGCTGCGTGGCCGCGGGGCTGGGCGCGTACCCCAAAACCGCCCGGGCAAAACCGGGACAGGGACCCACGGTGCCATGGGAGCGCCCCAAAACGTGAGTGACATCACTGGGGACATCACTGGGGTACAGGGACACTGGGGTGCACAGTGGAGTGTCCCTGAGTGTCCCCTCGGTGTCACTCTGAGTGTCCCCTGTGTCCCCCTGCCCAGGAGCAGTGGGACCCTGACACCATCCACACACAGGGCACAGAGCGGGGGGTCCCTGAATGTCCCCTGTGTCCCCTCTCTGTCCCCTTTCCCAGGAGCACGGAGCTCCCCGAGGATCACTGGGATTTCGAGGCCATCCGCACCATGGGGCAGAGAGTGGGGGGTCCCTGAGTGTCACCTCTGTCCCCTGAGTGTCCCCTGTATCACCTGAGGATTACCTGATTGTCCCCTGAGTGTTCCTGTGTGTCACCCGCGTGTCCCCTGTCTGTGCCCTCCCCAGGAGCACGGAGCTCCCCAAGGATCAGTGGGATTTCGAGGCCATCCGCACCATGGGGCACAGAGCGGGGGGTCCCTGACTGTCCCTGTGTGTCACTCTGAGTGTCCCCTGGGGACCCACGGTGCCATGGGAGCGCCCCAAAACGTGAGTGACACTGGGGACACTGGGGTACAGGGATATGGGGTACAGGGACCCACAGTGAGCTGGGAGCGCCCCAAAACATGAGTGACACCACTGGGGTACAGGGACACTGGGGACATTGGGGAGATCACTGGGGTACAGGGACATTGGGGTGCAGAGTGGGGGGTCCCTGAGTGTCCCCTGAGTGTTCCTGACTGTCCCTGAGTGTCCCCTGGGTGCCCCTGCCCAGGAGCACGGAGCTCCCCGAGGATCAGTGGGATTTCGAGGCCATCCACACCGTGGGGCAGAGTGGGGGTCCCTGAGTGTCACCTCTGTCCCCTGAGTGTCCCCTGTGTCCCCTCTGTGTCCCCTCCCCAGGAGCACGGAGCTCCCCGAGGATCAGTGGGATTTCGAGGCCATCCGCACCGTGGACCCCTGGGGCACCGAGGTGGGCCGGCGCTTCCGGGGGGGGCTGCGGCGCTGGAACATGACGGTGCAGTGGTGGCTGGCGGCCTACGTGCACCGCCGGGGCCCCCGCCAGTACCCCCTGCTCAGGTACTGGGGGCACTGGGAGCACTGGGAGGGCACTGGGGGCACTGGAACATGACGGTGCAGTGGTGGCTGGCGGCCTACGTGCACCGCCGGGGCCCCCGCCAGTACCCCCTGCTCAGGTACTGGGGGCACTGGGAGCACTGGGAGCACTGGGAGGGCACTGGGGACACTGGGAGAATGATTAAGGTGGACACTGGGGCAGTGGAAGCTGAGTTTCAGTGGGTGTAGATTGAATTTTGGGGGTGTAAATTGAATTTTGGGTGCTTAGGCTGGACTTTGGGAGGCACAAACTGAATTTCGGGTGTGTAAATTGAACTTGCCGTGGAGCAGGCTGGAATTTGAGAGGTGTAAATTCAGTTTTGGGGTGTTTGGGCTGGACTTTGAAAGGCAGAAACTGAATTTTGTGATGCTTGTGCTGGATTTTGAGACTCACAAAGTGAATTTTGGGATGGATGTGCTGGATTTGGGAGTCACAAACTGAACTTTAGGGTGGTTGTGCTGGATTTGACACTCACAAACTGAATTTTGTGATGCTTGTGCTGGACTTGGGAGTCACAAACTGAATTTTAGGGTGTATGTGCTGGATATGACACTCACAAACTGAATTTTGTGATGCTTGTGCTGGACTTGGGAGTCACAAACTGAATTTTAGGGTGTATGTGCTGGATATGACACTCACAAACTGAATTTTGTGACGCTTCTGCTGACTTTGGGGCCACATAAACACCATCCCAGCGCCTCCTACCCCAACTTCAACCCCTCCAAAGGAACCTTTGCCGCCTCCCTGACCCCCTTTTCCCCATTTTTCCCCTGCCCAGGAACGCCTGGACCATGCTGGCCTCAGCCTACTGGCACGGGCTGCACGGCGGGCAGTACCTGTCCTTCCTGACGGTGCCGCTGTGGCTGGCGGCCGAGGCGGCGGCCGAGGAGGCGCTGCGCCGCCATTTCGGGGTGCCCCTGGAGCGCCTGGGCGGCTGGAAGGGCTCGGCGCTCAGGGCGGCGCAGTGGTTCCTCAAGATGAGGGCGTTCGAGTACCTCAGCATGGGCTTCGTGCTGCGGGAGGCGGCGGCCACGCTGCGCTTCTGGGCCTCGGTGCACTTCTGCCTCCACATCGTGCCCCTGCTCATTCTCCTCGCGGCGGCGGCGGCGGGACGGGGCGGGAAGGGGCGGGAAGAGCAGCCTGAGGGGAGGGGAAAAGGGCGGGAAGATGGGCGGGAAGAGCAGCCTGAGGGGAGGGAAAAAGGGCGGGAAAAAGGGCGGGAAGAGGAGCCTGAGGGGAGCGGCGGGGCGGGCGGGAAGAGCAGCCTGAGGGGAGGGGAAAAGGGCGGGAAGATGGGCGGGAAAAAGGGCGGGAAGAGCAGCCTGAGGGGAGGGGAAAAGGGCGGGAAGAGCAGCCTGAGGGGAGCGGCGGGGCAGGGGACGCGCAGGTGAGGAGGAGGAGGGAGCGCCGTGAGGGGGACGGGGGGGATTCCCTAAATCCTGGAATCCGTGAGGGTGAGGACACCAGGAATCCTAAAATTCATGAGGGATGGGACCCCCTGAACGCCAAAGTTCATGAGGGTGAGGTCACCCAAAATCTTGAAATTCATGAGGGTGAGGACCCCCTAAATCCTAAAATTCATGAGGGATGGGACCCTTTGAATCCTAAAATCCGTGAGGGGGGGGATCCCCTAAATCCTGAAACTTGTGACAGTGAGGACACCCTGAGCCCCAAAGTTCATGAGGGTGGGGATCCCCTAAATCCTAAAATTCATGAGGGGAGGGATCCCCTAAATCCTGAAATTCGTGAGGGACGGGATTCCCTAAATCCTAAAATTCATGAGGGATGGGATCCCCTAAATACTAAAGTTCATGAGGGTGAGGACCCCCAAAATCCCCAAATCCAGGAGGGGTGGGACCCCCTGAACCCCAAAACGGAGGCCAGGGAGGAGCCCCCCAAATCCCAGGAGCTGAGGAAGAGGAGGGACCCCGAGGGTCGGGGTGGGGATGAACCCCAATAACCAGAGCTCGGGGGGACCCCAAAATTCGGGGTGAGGATGAGGAGGAAGCGCCCCAATACTCGGGGGGGGAAAAAACACCCTGAACCCCGAAATCCAAAATGGGGAAGCTCCGATAGCCCCAAACCAGGGGGACCCCCAGGGGAGGAAGAGGAGGGACCCCAAAAATGAGGATTTAGGGGTGTTGGGGGCTGCGGGCACCCCCCGGGGGGTTTTTTAAGGGGGGTGGGAGTGGGGGGCTCTGTTTTTGGAAGGGGCCCCCCAAAACTGAGACCAATAAAAGCCTTGAGTGACATCCCCGGTGTGTTTGGTGTGTGTGGAGACCCCAAAACTGACCAAAACCACCCCAAAGCTAACCCCCAAAGCTCTAAGATTGACTCAAATGCATCTAAAATGAAGCCAAATACAAAAAATGGATCCAAATCCCTCTGAACTGACCTGATCCTGCAGGACCCCCGAGTGTCCGAAGTAAACCTTTGAAGGATATCAGGCAAATATGGAGGCAAATCCTTGAAATGTGGAAAGAACTCGGGCCGGGAGTCTCCAAGGAGATTTTGAGGGTTGCCTGAAGGGTTTTAGGGTTATTTTGGGGGATCCCGAGGGGATCTGGGGATTTTTTTGGGGAGGTTTCAGGGATGCCCCTGCCTCCCCTCACGGCTCAATATGGCGGCGCTCCCACAATGCGAGAAGGCGGGAAACCCTCCCGTCCGGCGTCTCCCCTATAAGGAAGGCGAGTTAGCCAATCAGAGGCGGGGAGGGGGCGGGACTACAGCGCTCGGCAAATCAGAGAGCAACAACGGGGCGGTGCCAAATAGCTGGGCGAATCAGCGAGCGAGAGAAAGGCGGAGCGACAGGGGCTCGGCCAATCAGAGCCGAGAGGGCGGCAAAGAGGGCGGTGCGGCCGCGGTGCCTCAGAGTCGCGGCCTGGTCCCGCTCCCGGCGCCGCCGCCGCCATGAACATCCTTCCGAAGAAGTCGTGGCACGTGCGGAACAAGGACAATGTGGCGCGGGTGCGGCGGGACGAGGCGGCGGCCGAGGTGGAGCGGAGGAAACGGGAGGCGCGCGCGCTGCGGGCGGAGCAGGAGGCGAGTACTGGGGGGGGGGAAGGGGGCGGGGCTGGATAGCTGCGAGCCAATCAGCGCGAGCGGCTTTGAATGTATTATACTTGAGGGGCGTGGCTTAGGTTGATTGGCGTGTTTTGGCATGAACCATTTCGGTCTACTGGAGGGGGGGATGGAGTGGGCTAAAAAAGTTTTTTTTAGGGGACAAAATAAATTTGGGGGCGTAAAATAATTTCGCGGGGGGACACAAAATAAATGGGGGGGGTTTTAAAAAAGTCTGTGGGATCAGATTTGGGAGGTAAAAATACCCCGCCAGGACCTTGGGGTAACTGGATACCACCTGCCACGTGGCAGGGGCAAATGGAAGGGTTTGTTCTTCCTCCACCTGTGTGCTGTAAGTCATGGGGTGTGCCAAGTTCTGTGTGGAGAACGATCACGCGTGACTCGTTCGCCTCTTGTACACTCTCCTTTTAGTGTTGTTATTACCGTCTGTGTTCTTTTTTCACTGCTGTTTCTAGTAAATTTTTCTAATCTCAACCAGTGATCTTTACCTATTTGTGCTCTTCTCTCCATCCTGCCACAGGGAAAAAGGGGGGGGGGGGAGGGAGGGGGGGGGGGGGGGGGGGGGGGGGGGGGGAAAGGAGGCGGGGCTAGATAGCTGCGAGCCAATCAGCGCGAGCGGCTTTGAATATATTATGCTTGAGGGGCGTGGCTTAGGTTGATTGGCGTGTTTTGGCATGAACCATTTCGGTCTACTGGAGGGGGGGATGGAGTGGGCTAAAAAAGTTTTTTTTAGGGGACAAAATAAATTTGGGGGCGTAAAATAATTTCGCGGGGGGACACAAAATAAATGGGGGGGGTTTTAAAAAAGTCTGTGGGATCAGATTTGGGAGGTAAAAATACCCCGCTGGGGGTGGAAAATGGCGGCATTTGTGTGGGGAAAAGGGGGGAATTAGGGTGGAAAAAGGGGGAATTTGGGTGGAAAAAAGTGGGAATTTGGGTGGAAAAAAGGGGAATTTGAGGGAAACCCAAAAGGATTTTCACCCAGGGAGGGTCTCACCCCGAATCGCCCTCCCCAATTTCCCCTCAGAAGTGGCTGAGATTGGAAGGCTGGGGGTGGAAAATGGCGGCATTTGTGTGGGGAAAAGGGGACATTTGGGTGGAAAAAGGGGGAATTTGTGTGGAAAAAAGGGGAATTTGAGGGAAACACAGTGGGATTTTCACCACGGGAGGGTCTCACTCCAAATCCCCCTCCCCAATTTCCCCTCAGGATTGGGAGGCTGGGGGTGGAAAATGGCGGCATTTGTGTGGGGAAAAGGGAGAGAAAAGGGGAATTTGAGGGAAACCTGGGGGGATTTTCCCCAGGCAGGGTCTCACCCCGAATCCCCTTCCCCAATTTCCCCTCAGGACTGGGAGGCTGGGCCTGGAAAATGGCGGCATTTGTGTGGGGAAAAGGGAGAATTAGGGTGGAAAAAAGGGGAATTTGAGGGAAACCTGGGGGGATTTTCCCCAGGCAGGGTCTCACCCCGAATCCCCTTCCCCAATTTCCCCTCAGGACTGGGAGGCTGGGCATGGAAAATGGCGGCATTTGTGTGGGGAAAAGGGGGAATTTGTGGGGGAAAAAAGGGGAATTTTTGTGGAAAAAAGTGGGAATTTGTGTGGAAAAAAGGGGAATTTGAGGAAAATCCAAAGGGATTTTCACCAGGGAGAGTCTCACCCCGAATCCCCCTCCCCAATTTCCCCTCAGAAGTGGCTGAGATGGGGAGGCTGGGGGTGAAAAATGGCAGCATTTGTGTGGGGAAAAGGGAGAATTAGGGTGGAAAAAGGGGGGAATTAGGGTGGAAAAAGGGGGAATTTGGGTGGAAAAAAGGGGAATTTGAGGGAAACAGAGGGGGATTTTCCCCAGGGAGGGTCTCACCCCGCATCCCCCTCCCCAATTCCCCCCAGGAACGCCGCGAGCGGGCCCTGGGGGTCCTGACCTACCTGGGCCAGAGCGCGGCCGAGGCCCAGACCTGCCCCCCCTGGTACCTGCAGCCCCCCAGGAAAGCTGGGGAGGGGTCCCGGGAGGTGCAGGGGGGGCGCAAGGCCGTGCTGGACCCTCTCCAGGACATGAAGAAGGGGCTGCACCGAGCCCCCAGCCCCAAAAAATCCCCCCAGCCTCGGCCAAGGAGCCCCCCCAGAGCCCCCCCTGAGAGGGGCGGGGGAGGAGGAGGGTGAGTCACTCATTAATTAGTGCTTAATTGATTGATTAATCCCTTTTTCCATCCCTTAGTGCTGCCCTGAACATCCTCCTCCTGTTAATTAGTTGATTAATTATTTAATGAATCCCTTAATTAAGCCTCAGTGTCACGCCACAACCCCTCTAGTAAAGGTGCCAAAATTGGGATTTGGCACCTCAAAATTGGGATTTAACCCCTCCTAAATGAGGGTGTGACCTCCTAAAATTTGGGGATTTAACCCCTCCTAAACTGGGCTTTCACCCCTAAAAAAATTAGCCCCTTAAAATTGGAATTTAACCCCACCAAAACTGGGATTTAATCCCTGCTAAAAGTGAGGTTTGACCCCTCAAAATTGGGATTTAATCCCTGCTAAACTGGGGTTTGACCTCCTAAAAATGGGGATTTAATGAATTCAAAATTGGGGTTTGACCCCCCAAAAATGATCCCCTTAACACTGGAATTGAACCCCTCCAAAATTGGGATTGTCTCCCCTAAAAATTGGGATTTTTCTCCCTCTAAAATTAAGGTTTGACCGCCCAAAATTTGGTTTTATCCCCTTAAAATTGGGGGTTGACACCTCCCTTCATGCTGATTAACCCCTTAATGAATTCATCCCTTAATTAACCTTTCAACTATAATTATATTATCATTACTACTACTATTATTTTACATTATTATTATTAATTTATTAGTATTTATTATTATTCCCACCCCATTTACCCTCCCCCTTAGGAATTCCACCCCTCCCCTAATCACCCTTAATTAACTAATTACCCCTTAATTACCCCCAATTAACCCCTTAATTACCCCTTTAACCAACGCTAATTGCGTGGCAGGCTGGCGGAGCTGCGGCGGCAGCGCCTGGCGCGGGAGGCGGCGGAGGCGGCGCGGAGCCGGGAGCTGCTGGGGGGGCTCCGGGACCCCCCCGGGACCCCCCAAAACCGCCGGGACCCCCGGCAGCCCCCAGACCCCCGGGAGCCCCGGGCGCCCGAGAGGGGGCGCTACAACAGCCAGTTCCACCCGGCGCTGGCGCGGGGGGGGGAGCAAGCGCACCTGAGAGACAAATCCCGCTGAAACCGCCCCAGAATTCACCTGGAACCCCCCTGAAATCGGTAATGGGCTGTTCCACCCGGCGCTACAACAGCCAGTTCCACCCGGCGCTGGCGCGGGGGGGGAGCAAGCGCACCTGAGAGACAAATCCCGCTGAAACCGCCCCAGAATTCACCTGGAACCCCCCTGAAATCGGTAATGGACTGTTCCACTGTGCGCTGAGGCGGAGCAAGCGCAGCTGAGCCCCAAATTCAGCTGGGAGCCCCCAAAATTCACCTGGAACCTCCCCCCCGAAATTCACTTGGAAGCCTCCTAAACTGGTAATGGACAGTTCCACCCGGCGCTGGCGTGGGGGGGAAGCAAGCGCAGCTGAGAGCCCCAAATTCAGCTGAAACCGCCCCAAAATTCAACTGGAACCTCCCCAAAACCCCTCTGGAACCCCCAAATTTGGGAATAAAGGAAGGAATTTTCACCGGGGGAAATCTCACCCTGAATCCCCCTCCCCAATTTCCCCTCAGAAGTGGCTGAGATTGGGAAGCTGGGGGTGGAAAATGGCGGCATTTGTGTGGGAAAGAGGGGGAATTTGGGTGGAAAAAAGGGGGAATTTGTGTAGAAAAAAGTGGAATTTGTGTGGGAAAAAGGGGAATTTGAGGGAACCCCAGGGGGATTTTCCCCAGGGAGGGTCTCACCTGAATCCCCCTCCCCAATTTCCCCTCAGGATTGGGAGGCTGGGGGTGGAAAATGGCGGCATTTGTGTGGGGAAAAGGGGGAATTTGTGTGGAAAAAAGTGGGAATTTGGGTGGAAAAAAGGGGAATTTGAGGAAAACCTGGGGGGGAAACCCCCCAAAATTCACCTGAGAGCTCCAAAATTCACCTGGAACCCCCCCAAAATCTACAATGGACAGGTCCACCCTAAACTGGGTGGGGGGAAGGGGATCAGGGATCCCCCAAAAATCTCCCTGAGACCCCCTCAGGACCCCCCAAATTTTTGGGAACCTCTCAGGACCCCCCAAATCCCCCTCTGGGATGGATTTTAGTGACCCCACCCTAAAAAAAACCAATTAAAAATCCAATTTAAATCTGATTTTTAAGGGATTTTTACCCCTAAATTGGGATTTTTTGGTGGGAATTTGGGAAATTTTTTGGGTGGAAATTTGGGAATTTTGGGAATTTTTAGGATCCAGAGGAAAATTAGGAATTTTGGGATGGATTTTAGTGACCCCACCCTAAAAAAATCAATAAAAAAATCCATAAAAAATCCATTAAAAATCCGATTTAAATCGATTTTTATGCGATTTTCACCCCAAAATCGGGATTTTTAGTGGGATTTTGGGTGGAATTTGGGAATTTTGGGGAATTTGCAATTCTGGGCTGGATTTTAGTGACTCCCACTAAAAAAATCCATTAAAAATCTGATTTTAAAGCCATTTTAAGGCCAATTTTTAAGCAATTTTCGCCCTGAAATTGGGATTTTTTGTGGAAATTTCAGGTGGAATTTTGGGAATTTTGGGGAATTTTAGGATCCAGGGGGAATTTAGGAATTCTGGGATGGATTTTAGTGACCGCACTCTCAAAAAATCCATTAAAAATCCATAAAAAACCCATAAAAAATCCAATTTCAATGCGATTTTTACGGGATTTTTTGTGGGATTTTGGGTGGAATTTTGGGAATTTTGGGGAATTGTGGAATTCTGGGCTGGATTTTAGTGACTCACACTAAAAAAATCCATTAAAAATCCGTAACAAACCCATTAAAAATCAAATTTCAACGCGATTTTTACAGGATTTTTTGCCCCAAATTTGGATTTTTGGTGGGATTTTTGGGTGGAATTTTGGGAATTTTGGGG